AAAAAACCCCAAATTTGAGGTCTCTGACCCCCGGGACCCCCAAAATTCCCCCAAATTTGGGGTCTGGGACCCCCGAGACCCCCCCCAAATCCCCAAAATTCTCCCGAATTTTCTCTAAAAACCCCAAAATCCCCGCAAAAAAACCCCAAATTTGGGGTCTCTGAACCTTCAGGACCCCCAAAAGCCCCCAAATTCCCCCAAATTTGGGATCTCTGACCCCCGGGACCCCAAAATTCCCCCAAATTTGGGCCCTAAAAACCTCCAAAATCCCCAAAATTCCCCCAAATTTTCCCTAAAATCCCCCAAAATCCCCCCCCAAAAACCCAAATTTGGGGTCTGTGACTCCCGGGACCCCCAAAATTCCCCCAAATTTTCCCTAAAAACCCCCAAAATCCCCCCCAAAAACCCAAATTTGGGGTCTGTGACTCCCGGGACCCCCAAAATTCCCCCAAATTTTCCATAAAAAAACCCAAAATTGCCCCAAATTTGGGGTGTGGGACCCCCAGGACCCCTCCCCAAATTTTTTCTGGGGAATTTTGGGGGTCCCAGGTGTGAGACCCCCAAATTTTGGGTGAATTTGGGAGATTTTGGGTGAATTTGGGCCATTTTGAGACCCCCAGGGTCCCAAAAACCCCAATTTTGGGTGAATTTGGGAGATTTTGGGTGAATTTGGGCCATTTTGAGACCCCCAGGGTCCCAAAAACCCCAATTTTGGGTGAATTTGGGAGATTTTGGGTGAATTTGGGCCATTTTGAGACCCCCAGGGTCCCAAAAACCCCAATTTTGGGTGAATTTGGGAGATTTTGGGTGAATTTTGGACGAATTCGGGACATTTATGGTGAATTTGGGACATTTTGGGTGAATTTGGGGCATTTTGGGACCCCCTAGAGTCACAAAAATCCCAATTTTGGGTCAATTTTGGTTGAATTTGGGGCATTTTGGGTGAATTTTGGTTGAATTTGGGGCATTTTGGGTGAACTTGGGGCGAATTTGGGACATTTTGGGTAAATTTTAGTTGAATTTGGGACATTTTGGGTGAACTTGGGGCATTTTTGGTGAATTTTGGGTTCTTGGGAGGTCCCAGGGTCACCAAAACCCCAATTTTGGGTGAATTTGGGGCGAATTTGGGACATTTTGGGTAAATTTTAGTTGAATTTGGGCCATTTTGGGGGAATTTGGGTCATTTCGGGACTCCCAGGGTCACAAAAACCCCAATTTTGGGTGAATTTGGGCCATTTTGGGTGAATTTGGGGCGAATTTGGGAGATTTTGGGTGAATTTTGTTTGAATTTTGGCCATTTTGGGTGAATTTTGTTTGAATTTTGGCCATTTTGGGT